CCCGGGAGGACGGCTGGCGCTTGCAGTCAAGTTGCTGCTACAGGGACACAAGCGAGCCAGGTTCAAATCGCACCGTGAGTCCCGCCTGCCTTGGTTTCCCCATCTGGCAAATGGGATTGAAAACCCTTCTCCATCTCTGGAGACCCCACGCTGTTGGGGGCGGTGCCTCGTTTAGGTCTGGGCCACGCCTGGCACAAGGGGGACCCCCATCTTGGGGGCAGCCCTGCAGCGCCTGACACAGGGGGGGAACCTTATCTCTCACTGTGACACTCTGGGTGTAATAAACACCCTGGGAATAACCGTCGGCAACAGCTTCCCAAGGCCCCTGGCGGATCCCGGATCAGCGCCTCCACCCTTTCCCCTCCACTAGCTCGCCCACCAGATCTGGGTTGGCAGCAGGAAGCCCCATGTGGAAAACTGATCCAGACCAGATGCGAGGATCAGCGAGGGTCCTGGCTGGTGCCAGGTTGTATTAAATACAGAGCCTGGTTTGTTATCGGATATGGGGCAGGCCCGCCCGTGGGGCAGGGGCAGCAGCGAAGAGGAACCGGTGCTGTATGATCGGACACGGCCCACGGGCAGTTGTCTCTTGCCTGCCCCAGATAGTTTGGGCATTTGGGGGGTGCCACCGGGCACCGAGGAGGCCCCTTTGCCCATGCTTTGCTTACATGGTCATCCAGGAGCAAACCCCACCAGGCACCAGGTTTGGGGTGCCCATGGCCTCACGCTGGGAAACCGCTCATTGGCACAAGCAAACCAGGGTCTGTGCAGTGCCCGGCACAAAAGGGGGGGGGGTCCCCCAGGCTCAGAGCCCAGCAAAATGGGGACCCTGATCTCACAGCCATGGGTTCAGGTTCTGCCTTTCCCGGCTACAGCCCAGGAAACCCGCGTCTCCACCACTTCACGGCACATGCACCTCACCGAGGTCCCCACATGATGCTGTGGCCAGAAAGGGCTAATGCGATCCAGGGCCGCGTAAACGGGGGCGGATCTTGAGTAGGAGCAGAGAGGTGATTTTACCTCTGGATTTGACCCTGCTGGGATCCTGGGTCCGGTTCTGGTGCCCACAATTTGAGGAGGAAGTGGATAAATTGGAGAAGGGTCAGAGAAGAGCCGTGAGAAGGATTTGAAAACCTGCCTTGGCATGAGAAACGCAAGGAGCACGATCAAGGAGACGGTGGGGGGGGGGGGGGGGGAACTTGATCCGTCTACAAGAAGCTACACCAGGAACAACCGTTTAATAATGGGCTCTTTGGACCAGCCAAGAAAAGTCTAACAACAGCTGGAGGTTGAAGTGAGACAAACTCGGAGTGGAAACAAGGCATGGAATTTTTAACGGTGAGGATAATTAACCACGGGAACGATTTACCAAGGACACTGATGGATTCTCCATCACCGATCATTTTTAAATCAAGACTGGACATGCTTCTAAAAGATCGGCTCTGGGAAGTAGCTCGGGGGGACGTTCTACAGGAGATCAGACCAGGTGATCGCCACGGTCCCTGCCGGCCAGGGGAATCTACAAATCTATGAACATAAGGATGCTCCAAGAGTGGAAATTTTAAAATCAAGGCTGGATAGTTGCTCGAAGAGATCAACTGCAGTTCAAGGAGGAATGAACCCAAGGCAGCGCTGGGGCCTGCAGGCTGGAATCAATAGGACCTCCTGGCCACGTTCCTCAAAGGTATTTAGGTGCATAGACCCACGTCTCCTTCGCGGCAGCATTGAGATGCCTCCAAGGCACCGCGTATGGGGCGTTTCGGGCCCGAGAGGATGGGGGGAGGAGGCCGGGAGCGCTGTCTCTTTAAAAACCCGCATGTTTACAGGAGGGAGCTCGTAAAAAGTAGCTAGAGATAAAAAGCAGATAAGGAAATACTTGGAAGAGGCAAGTGGTACCAATCAATTGGATCCAGCTGACACGGAGCCCAGGGGAAAGGGAGCAGCTGAGGATTTCACCCCCTCGAGGCAGCGAGCTAGTAAATGCCAGGGTTTGTTTACAAGCCCAGGAACGCCCGAAGATCGGCATGATTTTCACCCTCAAATACTTCGGGGAAAGCAGCCGTGTCAGTTTTACATATTGCTGCAAATCAAGCTGATTTAAAAAAAAAAAAAAAAAAGACCCATTCATTCTTACTGCGCGATGTAAAAATACATCCAAGTTTATGACGTGTGGGTGCGGGGGGCTGGAAAAATAACGAGACTTTTCCGAGACAAGTACAAGCCTCCCTTTCGGTGATCACACCGTGTCAAAAACGGGGGGGGCGGCCGTTACCGGCCTGCGCATCTCAACTCCATTTGCTCTTGGAGCGGAGACAAGGAAGGGGTCGGGTCTGCAACTCAACAGGATTGCTAGAGAGGCTGGCGAGCCCGTCTCTCGGAGCCAGGAGAAGCCAGAACTGGCCAGCTAGGATCCAGCCATCAGCTCTGGGCCCCTCGGCTCCAACATTTCAGAAGTGGCAGGACTCATACGCTCCAGCCCCAAATGAAAAATTGGGGTTTTGAGGAAAAAAAAAAAATCAGAATTTTTAAGCCCCCTCCACCCAAATCCAGTTTTTAGGAGTTTCCATCCAATTTCCACAGAACACGTGAAACAGCCACTTTGCACCCACTTTCTGGGAGCCCCCCAAAGCTGGGCATTTTTGTTTTAGTTTGGGGAAAAATACCCACGTCGAGTAGCTCTTATGAGTCATCCAAAGGACACCACCCAAGAAGCACAAGTTCAGAGCAGGCCAGCAGAGGCAAGTGGAGGTCGAGCCGGCCGCGCCGGGGCACAACAACACATGAATTACGGCTGGCGGCCAACGCCCAGAGGGGAGAGGATGGGCCAAGAGGCTGAAATTAGAACAGCGGCTGGAGATTCATGAGTTTCCTGCTCCCATGACTGACCACGAGCCAAAGCCACCACTAGAGGACAGGATCTACAGGGCTTCGATCCAGCAAAGGGCCAGACTCTGCTGGCGCACGGAGAGACGCGTGAGGGACATTCACGCCGGCACAGACCCTTGTGTGTTATACAGAGCCAGACGTATGTTAGGCCAGGAGACCATCTAGCTGGACTCCTGCACGCCACGTGGTGTAATTCACCCTACACCCCTTGGCTTGGCACGTCTGCCCCCCCCCGGATCTGAAGTCCCCGAGCGACGGGGAAACCTGGAGAGAAGCAGCCAGCCCCGGGAGCTCTTGGAGACATTTGAAAGACGGGATATTCCCGAGCATTTTAGCTCATGCTTTGGCCCGGCCTGCTCGCCTCTTCCACCCCAGCCACCCGCCTCCTGTCTTCCAGTTAAAACGCTGGGCACAGACCCACATCTCCGCTCTTACAAACCAGAGTCTCGAGCCAGTCCCCCATCCCCTGGGAAAGTACATCTCCACACGGAGCCCAGAGCCCCCCTTCCCCCAGAGCAGGGAACCGTTTCTAGCCCGCTCTCCCAACCAGGCTAGCCCGCTATTTCCAAACCGGGAGACAGGATCCCACCCAGGCCCCAAACGATGGCTAAAGGTGACAACGATTTGACTCCGATAGCCCACGGGTCTTATCCAGCCAGAGAGCTCAACGTGCTTTGCAAAAATCCGCAACTATTTTCCCCCTCTGAATTTATCTAGCTTCAACTTCCAGCCAGGAAGTTTGGTCTGCCGGGTAGAAGAGCCCTCGGTTATCAAATCTCTGGTCCCCGCGGAGGAACTGAGAGACTGAAAATGCTCGCTCTGTTGAGCTTAAAGAGGAGGCAAAGGGGTGACTGGATCCCCCTCTCAGGCACGGTTTCTAGTAGCATTTCTCCGACCCCTCTGCAACTGATCAACGGCCATCTGCAACTCGGGTGGCCGCAACCGGATGCAGTGGGTGCCCCAGGGCTAAATCAGCTCTCTCCTCCTACCAGAGATCCCCCCGTCTACGCAGCCAAGGATCGATTTAGTGTCGCTCTGGGAGCTCCTGGCCAGCTGCTTATCCACCATGACCCCACGATCCATTTCAGAGTCGCCGCTTCCCAGGCTTGAGCCCCATTGGTGGTTCCTAAAGGTACAATCTTCCCAGGGGGCCCGGATGCATTGGGGGTGAGGAGACGGTAAAAAGGGCTTTTTCTGGCTCGCGGCCGCTTGGCTTTGCAACTTTCCCATCTTTTTTAACGGAGTTTTTTGCCTGGAATTTCTTACAAGGGGGGAATAAATTCCAAGGGCTGAAACTAACCACCTCTGCGTGACACATCAGCAGCAGGGTTTGAACTCTAGACCTCACCCCAGCCTGCTCTCCCCTGCACTCCAGGGACCAGCTCCAGGAGCTGACGGTAGTAGAAGGTTGTTATCTCAAGGAGGAGAAATCAGAACTCAATCCCGCTGACTTCACAGCTGAGGTGGCGGTCGGCCACTGGACCCGTGGGGGGGGGGGGGGGGGAGAAGAAGAGCACAATCAAAGGCCCCCACCCGCTTTCCGGGACAAAGCCAGAGCCCTCCGGGCGAACATCCTGCTGACTAGCAAAGGCTGGCCCCAAACAATCTGCCACAAAAGGGCGGCTGCCTGCTCCCCCCTCCCCAGCATCAGCAGCCGGAGTAGCGGCAAGAACAAAAATGCAATCGCCCGGCCAGCAGGGCCTGCGTGAGAGACCTGCCTGCCGTGTGAAGGGGCCCAGCTGTTTACGCTGCAATTGGCTGTATTGCCATGGGCCGTGCCCGTGCTTTTACTGCTCCCGGCCAGAGTCCGGGGTTCAAGGAGAGCCGCTTATCGCCCCAAGACATTTATTAGCCGGGAAATGAGCTTTGGCAGGCGAGAAGGGCTGGCTGGAGGGGATGGGCGGAAAGGGCCCATCGCCCGTGGCCTCCTGCCTGCAGCCTGAGAGGGGCAGCTGTGGGGCTCCGATGACTCCATCGACTCTAGCTCCCATCCCCTACCTGTGGGGAGATGGTGCCCTCTCTCCCAGCCAGCAATTCCCCCGCACCCGCGTGCCCCCCACACCCGCTCGCGCTGAGCCAGCCGGGAGGGGTTAAAGCTGAGATCCCCCTACGGGTCAAATCAAAACCAACCTTTATTTACAGTGCGAAGGCAGCGGTTAGAGCAGGGACAGGAAAGGAAGATCTGCCCTGGGGCCCAGCCGGCAAAGCCTGCAGCCGGGACGGCCCCTCTGTTCCCGCCCAGCCCGCAGGGGCGCGGGGCGGGGGAATCCTGGCACAGCGGGGCCCGAAACGGAGGAGACTGGTGGCCGGACTTCAGACCCTGCCCCGGCCCCCTGCAAGAGAACCACCGCCCGCTCCCGTGCGCGGCTGGAGACGTCTCCGCTCCAGGCTCCCCAGCCATCTCCCGCTACTGCCTGGGAAAAGGGAAGCCGGCCAATCGGCCCCCCCCAACCCTTCTTCCCATGTGTCCGAACCCCTATTGCACTGATTAGCCACCCGAGAGCATGGGGGGGTCCCAGGGCAGGGAGGGGGACGATTAGTGACTCTGAGTGGAGTTAGCGCGTGGGCTCCCAGGCCTGGCGGGAGGGGAGAACAGGGGCAAGGGCGGGATGCACGGGAGGGTTACGATTTTGACTTGGAGATGGCCAATCCGATGAGACCAGCCAGGCCGGCCACGCCCAGGGCCATGCCGCCGACGATCGCCATGCCGACCAGGCCGTCTGCAGAGAAAACACAGGGCTTAGCCGCGGGGGCAGGGCCTCCGCCCGCAAGGCCCTGCCCACCTCTCCCCCCCCCCCCCCCAATCTGGCAGGTCCATCCTCACCCCGGGGCATGCTGGGAAAATCCAGCCAGCTCGTCCATCATGCCTCAGGCCGGTGGGGCAATGCATGCTGGGATGCAGGGACGCACTGGGGCCCGGCTGGAAGAAGCGTGGGCAGGGCCGAGAGGGAGACCCACAGCCTGGATTTCGGGGTCAGGGCGGGAAGAGGGGCTGGCCGATCCCGCCCTCCCTGGGACGAGGCGAGGACGGGATTGGGGCGGCCGTGGGGGGAGGCTGACCTTTCTGCATGGCCTTGTCAATGAGCTTTTTCAGCTCCAGTGCCTGCGTGTTCTTGGGCTCCGTCTTCAGCAGCCCCCGGATGTACTTCAGGGCCTCCTCGTACTCCTAGGGGACAGGGGGTGGTCAGCACCCACGCTACCCTCCCCGGCCACCCACCCAACAGCCCCTCAATCCCTCCCATGGCACAACCCCCTCCCTGTCTCCTCCCACCCCGTTACCCTCCTCCCACTGATCAGCTTCGAGCATCGTCCGCTCCCTGCTCCGAGCCCACCGCCCCATACACGCCCCACCCCATCTTTCCTCGATCCTCTCCCCCCGGGGCCCAGCCCTTCCCTCGCCTATCAGCGCCTCGCGGTTTATGAGCTGTGGCGGCAGAGTCCATAAAACCCCGCCAGCACAGGGCCCCGCCCGGCAACGGGTTTATGGAGCCCCGCTGAGCCACCCTGCGATCAGGCAGGGACGTTCCCCCACCGGTACCTGGGCCAGGAAAGTTAACCTGCTTCCTTTCTGCTGTGGGTCAGCCCCCAGTCAGCTCCCTGCATCCCTCCGCGTCCGCGGAGGGAGGAAAGCGGGACACGGGCCGCCCTCGCCCCCCCCCAGCCTGTCCCTGATCTTTGAGGGTCCCAGAGTCCATATAACCCGCTCCCTGTGCCCCTCGAGCCTGTCCCATCCAGCGCCCAGCCCCTAGGCACAGCTCCCCAAGACCCAGCACCCTGAGGCCACCGCCCCCAGACAGCTCCCCAAGCCACCCCAGGACCTTGGGACCTGAGGGGCAGCCATGCCCCCCACACACACACCCACCTTCAGCCGGTAATTGGCCACGGCCAGGTAGAAGACGTAGTCGCGTTGTTCTTCCTTGCAGCCTTTGGGCACCAGCTCTAGAGGGTAGAGTGGAGACGGGGTGACCGGGGGCTCTGGCTCCAGCTCCCCCTCCCCCCGATTCAGGGCAGAACCAGGCAGACAGACCCAAGGGGGGGGCCTCCAGGGCGGTGCCCTGGCCAGTCTACCCTGCGCTAACCCCGGGACCACCCTGCCCGGCGGCACGGTTCCCAGAGGTGCGGGCATGCCTTTGCCGGGTGTCTGGCTCAGTGGGACTGGCCGGGCAGAGCCGGATGGAGCCGGGGGGGACCCCAGCCGGGAGCGGGGCGCAGGGCGTCACTCACCCTCCAGCAGCACGATGCCCTTTTTGATGTCGTCGGTGTATTTGCTGCGCACCAGGCACCAGGCGTATTCGAACTGCGTCCCCTTGGAGACCGTGCCCCCGCTCAGCTCCGCCTTGTACTTCTTCTCGAACCGCTGCGGGGAAACGGCGGGGTGAGACCGCGGGCAGCGCCAGGAACCCCCGCCCGCCGGGCCCCGGCTTGGGGGGGACACACAGGGCCAGGGACCGCGGGCAGCAACAGGAACCTCCGCCCGCCGGGAGCCGGCTTGGGGGGGACACACAGGGCCAGGGAGAGGGTGGGGGTAAGATGGCAGGGCAGGGCCTGTCACCCCTCAGCCTCCATACCCACCCCCAGGCGCACATAGGGGAGAGAGAGAGAGAGAGAGACACACACACACACACACACACACACACACTTCCCCCGCTCAGTTTCAGGACTCCTGGGTTCTCTCCCCAGCTCTGGGAAGGGAGTGGGAGCTGGTGGTTAGAGCCGGGGGGTCTGGGAGCTAGGACTCCTGGGTTCTCGCCCCGGCTCTGGGAGGGGAGTGGGGGCTGGTGGGTTAGAGCAGGGGG